GTTGTCGCGTTACATGAGAATATCCATTTAGACCTGAGGCTTTTACATTATGATAAATTTGAGGTATAGTTAAAAGATTATTTCGTTGAATATACTCTTTAATTTCAGACGAAACTGCAATCGATTGAGGTCGCGGATGTGTTAAATGGTGAACACGGATATAAGCTAGTTCGTGAGATTGTTTGATAGTAATAAGAACTGATCCCTCACATTCGTACCGAAGCAATCGGGGTTCAGTATTTCGTCGTTTGTTAATGTCCTCAATTTGAGGATTTTTAGGTTTTCTTTCATACTTGCAGTTGCAATAAAAAAGAAATGAAAAGCCGTCTCTCAGTTTATCACATGAATGATAAATATACATAAATCCATCAGCTTTCGAAATAAGTTTTATTATTTGACAGGCAATAAGTTTATTACTTTCATTTTCGTTTGTCGTTTCAATACGATCGATAAATGAATTAAGAAAGACGGCAATATTTATATTTAATTCTTGTTTGCATGGTTCAGCACTGTCGAAATCTTCATAAGGGTCCAGAAAATCTAAGAAAACATCTACAAGTTGATCTCGAGTATATGCAAGGTCTTGACATCGTTTTATTTCTTCATCTTCATTTTTCTTTGCCTTCTTCCGGTTCGTATTAATAATTGAGGTCCGGCACTTGTTACATGATGATACAGTTTTGTTATTCATTCCGATGAAGTTTTCTTTCCCGTACCAACCCCTGCAATGGTTGCACTTTTTTTTTTCACAATTAACATTCATCACGTTCAACAAGAAATGTAAAAAAAAGAGAGAGGTACAAGTGAAAAAGAACATGGAATGCCAGGGCAATTTTCATTATATATCGTTATTTAGTGATATGTAGAGTGATCTATTGAATAATTTAAAGTATTTACAGTATATTGATATCGATACATTGATGATCCATTGTGTCACGTGATCTGCGAAATTTTTTTGCCTGGCATTACTAGTCCCTTAGATTTACCTATAGGAATCACTAGTCAAATTAGGAAAAGCGTTGCCAAATTTCTTAATTTTTGGTTAGCAATTTTTCTAATCTTAGAACCAAAAACCCGGAGAAAATATTGTCGTTTGCTTGCTTTATTAATATAAAATACAGTTATATTACATATTTACCGTATTCATTGCTTCAAACTTATTGGACGCATCGCTAGAACCTTTCTATTCAAGTTTTTTGGCTGTTTCTGAATATAATTGTCCAATCACGGATCCCTTCATAATATGAACGTTTAGATAATATTCGCGCTAAAATATTCATAAATTAACTCTACCATAGTGAACTGGCGACCCTTGTAAAAATTTTTGTAAATCGTTAAATAGTAATTAACTATGCTTTATAATTAATTTGCGAAACGTATATGGTTACCTCGTGCGTTCGTTTTTGTGTTTTATCGACAAGGTTCGCATCCACTATAGTATTAAAGTGTTATTTACTATGATTAATGGCATCACGTTATATAGATCGTCAATTTTGTCCAATTAGAAATGCGATCTACAGGTAGCCAATAGAAACTTTGGGGGAAAATTAGTAAATGCCCAATCTCTACTGCAGATAGGTAGCCGGATAGATTCTAAACCTTTATAGATAGGCCACACCGCCTAACTACCTGGCTCTTGCAAAGTTCACCCAAGCCCCAGTACCCTTCCTTCAAGACAACCCAGTACCTTTCTTTTCAGTACTCCCTAGCCAGTCTCTCCAGACTACCAATCCAGATGGCCCAGAAAGTACACCGGTCTTTTTCCTAGTCGACTTGGTGGTCTGATTGATGGAGTAACTTGTTGGTACTCTTGTCTCGTCCAGTTTTCCAGCCTTGAGTGGAGTCTATTCCGGTAAGCACTGTTGAAAGCTTGTGCTACCTCTCTGCTCAGGTCTTGCCAAGTGGGCTTCCTATAGCGCTATTCATCAGATTAACATAATCCGAGGACTTATTATGAGTTTACGCCATCTTACTGGTTTTGTATTCTCTTTGTACAACTCGTACATTACACAAATGCCCCAAGATCTCCCTTAGATCGACCCGATAGTGCAATAGATGTTCTTTCTATATAAGGTATGACCAATGTTACAGGATCTTCTTCCCAATATATGAGAGAGTTGCCATTATACAAAAGAATTCAATTTTTCGCTATCTGTGAAAATTGAACTCAGATGTGCTGCGTGGGGAGTGACAACCCAACCAATTCACTAAGTCGCCACATTCTTAAAATGTTTTTTATTTTAATTCTATAACTATATAGAATTAAAATAAGGGAATATTTAAAGGATTGTCATACACTCTCTCCTGTACACATACGTGAAGGGCAGAGAGTTTTTCAAAAAAAACAAAATTACTCTATATTACAAGTTCGAAAACTACAAAAAACTAGGACCAACAAGGGCAGTAGCCCTTGTACCAGAGAAAAGAAAACTTATGCCCTCTGAAAACCCAGAGAGTAGTAATAAAATGATCAAAAAAAACAACTTTAGC